TTGGATTGGTAACAATAACAAAACTGATAATAATAATAATAATAATTATTATTATTATTATAAAGATTAATGTTCACCAAAATTCATTATCTATTTTGTTTTCTTTTGTTTCTTTTTTTTCTTTTTCTTCTTCTTCTTCTTCATATATAAGTCTATTTATCTATTCAACTAAGTAGATATACATAAGACAAGTTAAAAGAATTTAGAATAAACTAATGCCTAACTACATTGACATCATTTAACACTTAACTTATTCATCATTACTATCTACTAGGGTTTTCTTTTATTTGCGCTTCTTTTTTATTTCTTTTTCTTTTTTCTTCTATACATTTCTTTTATTTAAGCATAATATATACAGCCATAGTTATAGACAATTATGAAAATTTTATTGAATTCAATCTCTTTTGTTTTTCTTCTTCTTCTTCTTCTGCTTTTTTTTTCTTCTTTTTCATTTAATGCTCTTTCTTGTTTTTTTTTTAAAAAAAAATAAAGAGAGAGAGAGAGAGAAGAATATTTATAAGTGGATATATATATACCTATATATAGCTCTTGACAGTTGACTAATGGGCAAATTTTTCCTCTGTAATATTACTTCCTTGACTTATATACATATATATATATGTGGATGTGTGTGTGTGTTTGTGCGAGAGAGTGTGTGTGTGCGTGTGGGTGGGTGGGAGAGTGAGAGAGTGAGAGAGAGAGAGAGAGAGACAGTTATGACTATTATTCGCCTAATTCTATTTTTCATTTAGTCAAAAAGAAAAAAAAAATTTCTTTTTTCTACAAAAAAATGCAGCACCTTAGTTGATTATTTTCAGATTTTCTTTCTTTCTTTCTTTCTTTCTTTTTTACATTCTATCATGTCTTAGTAAGTTTTAGCATTCTCTTATTCATCTTTCCAATTGCAATAGATTGCTAACTAAGCTAATAGAATATACATTTATGTTAATGGTCAAATATTTTCTAATATAATATCTTTGTATGTGTCTCTATGTGGGTATATATATCTTGTGTGTGCGTGTGTGTATGTAGGTGTGTGTGTGTGTGTTTAGGTGTGTGTGGCACCTTACTTAAGGCAGGCATAAAAAAAAACATTATGTTTCTAATTCGAAATAGTGATAAATAAAAAAATTTTTTTTTTCTTTCTCTTTCTTTTCACGTATATCAAACAAACAAAAAATACAAAAAAATAAATGTTTGATCGGTTCCAAAAGGTAGATAAACAAAAATTAACATGTATGTACATGTATCTATGTGGCTAAGTATATGTATGTTTCTATGTATCTATGTATCTATGTATGTATGTGTGTAGGTGTGTGTGTATTGTATATATATATATATATATATGTTGGTTGAATGTTTTATTATAGTGTGCTGAAATTTGACAAACTCTGACAGGTTGGTTTATTCAAGAATCAAATACACATGGTATTGTTTATCCAAATAGATATATGTAAAGAATAAATGAAGTAATCTTCTCATATAAAAAAAAGAGAAGAAAAAGAAACAACAACATCTTTCTAACACTGTCAATTCAATCTATTTGGCTTGTAAAGTATTAAAAAAAAACAAAAAAAAAAAGGAAAAAGAACATTCATATTTCTATTTGAAAACGTTGCCTACATTATTTCATATGGGTAATTATTCATTTTAGATGAATGTAATACATGATATATTTCATTAGTTGAAATCATCAATCCATTGAAGCTAGACCACCATGGAAAACTTGGAAGCACTGAACGACCGTTTCGTCCTAGTATGGGATTCCTTAGTGGCAATGCACATTCACAATCCCGCTTTTCGCGAGATTCGAACCCAGGCGACAGGCACTTAACCAACAAGACCACTGAACCATCATCCAACTGTGTTAATGTCGAACTTCAATCAATCCACGAATTTACGCCATCGTACACCATTGTCTTCAGTGAGCTGATATCTCACAATAGACCTGGTTGAATTCCACTGGTAACGGCTTCTCACTAGAACTTCAGGAGTATCTCTTCAATTCAGTGACTAATAAGCAGATGATTATTATTATTATCAGAAGAGATTGTGTGGAGATTTTTAGAAATTTCACTGGTTGAAATCATGAATCCATTGAAGTTAGATCACCATTGAAAACCTGAAAGCACTGGTAGTTTATTTCGATGAGACTCTAATTGATAGACGAGTCAAGCAGAATAGTGTTTTAGAGATTTCAAGGTTACGGTGTTAACTTCATTGCTTAATGCTAAATGTACAATCGGTTCATCACAGAGAAATTTGTACAAAATGTGATAATTGAGAGGTTATAACAAGTATAAGATAACAGTCTTTCATCCATTTGGCTAAATAAATTTCTGGCATTATAGCTTATGTCAGTTCGTGATGAAAACTGCATATATAATTCCTTACTAAGGCAAATTATGATAATTATAGAGAACTAGATGTTAAAAGCACCAGGATTACTGGCTGTAGCCAGACACTACAATATATACGGATGTTTGGAGAGCGTAAAGACTCTTCCATAGGCTTGATTATGTGCATCGTGTTGTTATCTAAAAGTAGCATTTTGTATACTCAACAACCGAAGTGCAGCACATAAACAATATTGATACTATATGGTCGAGGCTCAAAGAGTTTTTGAGACTTTATCATGGCTCCAGAGGCCAACTATTCTATAGTCATATGGATGATTTGCTCTACTGTATACATTACGATTTTTGGAACCTCTGAACCTCTTCTTCTAACCTTGATAAGTTTTTGAACCATGTAAAAGGAGCTTATTCACTATAATTCTTGGGTTTTGTATAATATATATTTTTACTCTAAACTGACTGTTTTCTGATTGGCTAATGTTTCTCAAGGTTACTTAAGATTCGTTCAAAGGTTATCCATAAATGCCAGTTTCGCCCTTCTTTTTCTCTTTGATGAAAAGTTCTATTGAATATGATATTGAATATAGGTACTTGGTAGAATGTAAATTTAGTTTAAATTAACTTATCTAGATTAAAGATGTATAATGGTTGATTGTGGAATCTAGTTTGACGCGAGTTTTGTCCTATTTGAGACTCATCAGCTGAATGTATCTAGTTGAATGAAGTTGTTTGAATCTCTCAGATTGAAAATAGGTAAACTAGTGTGTTTAAGAAACTTAACTCATTTATATTGTTTTCATTATTTCTAAATTGAATACATAACATTCATTTGTATTGGTTGATTAAATCATTTCATGATAATACTTATGACATAATGGTAATATCGAAGTTAGTGGTTATTTGTAATCCGTAGCTAAGTGGACAATGTGATGAAGTTTAGAGCTATGGTATTCGATTTGAGTTCCGGAATGAGCATCAACTTTAAGATTCAGGTGTATGCATCTGATAAGTTTCTAATTGGACGAAACATGTATGTTAGTTTGAATTGTTAGCCACATCTATCTCAACTTTGTCAATATCTAGGTTGAAAGTGAATAATAAATTACGGGAAGATTATAATACAGTTAAGTAATCGTTAACTACTCATATAGAACATTTTAATTCATATGTATTGGTTATTTGAAACCACCCCTCTCTCCATTGATGTTTAGCATTGAAAAATCGATCCGTCTTTTTTTTTTTAAGCATATGTGTATCCTAAATTGCTTGGTCACTGGGTGACCAATGTCATGCGTGTCTAGTCCTTATTATTAGTGCAGATCGAATGATATCGATCATGTTGCAATGTGGCCACCAGTCTAGGTGACTCGACACCGCGGGCACTATTGTGAGATTCGATGGTGGTTGGAGGTTGGACGGTTTCTTGTCGACTACCTCCAACCACCATCGAATATGTGTATCCTGTGTGAATTTCCTCAAGATTGTCATTATGTTACAAGCATTTTAAGCAAAGTTTGATGATGACTAATGGGCTTGCATTTTATTCTACTTTGGACTCGTCAGATATATCTCCATCAGTGTTAATGTTCACTCTGACACTCAAACCCAGTACCGTAGTCTCAAACTTCATCTAAGGTAATATTATTAACTTAACTAATTGAAAACAGATAAAATAAGTCTTAAATCAAATCCTCATACTATTTAATACTGTTCAGAGAATAACATCTGCCATTATAAAGGAACTAATGGTTCTTCTAAGATTCAGACTAACTTCACCTAGTGTCTCGGATCAAAGTTATGATCATTAAGCTACGTATATATCTTCTAATATTTTGTCTGACTGGTATAACCACACTGATTATAACTTGATAGATAGATCTTTTAAGAATAATGAAAAGTAGACAGGCTAAAGAACTCACTGTATCGAGAATCGGAAACAGACATTAAAATGATGTATAACGACTGGAAAGGAGTGATCAGGATATAAATGAATGAAGAATGATGATGAACTACCTATTCTTCTCCACGAAGGTTAACAGGTGTAAGTCAGTCACTAAGTAAATAAAAGAACTCTTGAATACCCAATAGCGTCGGAAAGATAATCTATCTTCATTTGGAGATGATAGCCATACACGATTCCAAAATATAATCCAACATCTTCAAAATTCATTATAAAATCGATGCAACGTCATTAAATCTCAATTGATCACACTTCGAAATTTAATTTAAAAACCTGACATGGTTGATACCATCTTTTTTCACATATGGCTTTGACCAGTGGATTTCAATCAGATCTGTTGTGAGATAGTAACTTATTGAAGACAGTGGTGGATGTGTTGCCCAATTACGTGGATTAGTTGAAATTAGACATCGACACCGTAGGATACCGGCCAGTTCAGTGGTTTAGAGATTAAGCATTGACGCGCGAGACTAATAGATCCTCGATTTGAATCTCTCGATGCGGGATTGTGGATACACACTCCTGAGGAGTCCCACAGTAGAACGAAACGGACGTCCAGTACTTTCAGGTTTTTTATGGTAGTCTGACTTCAGTTGACTCATGATTTTAATTATTAAAATTACTATAGTATCCATAAAACCTCTTTGATTTCATATTGATTTATTTATTCATTTATTGATTAGATGTGCCATGGAAACAGAAGTCACTACACATTTCAATTATACACCAACATTATTTATTGAAAATCATTCCGATAATTGTATAAAATTAAATCAAATTACACATGAAAATTCTTTCATAGAAAAACCGTATGATATCTCTTCATCAACTATACGAATGACACCAACAACGCCTACAGCAACAGCAACAACAACAGCAGCAGCAGCAGTCGCAACAGCAACGGTGACATCATCATCATCATTATCATCACCGTCAACAATAACCACCAAAACAACAACAACAACAGCAATGACTAAAACAAATACATCATCTAATTATGAAAATATTTATATTCCAACTAGTAATAATTGGAATCAACAAATGCATCATTCTAGAATGGATAAATCACATTTTATTGATTGTTATAAAACAAACTACTTATTAAATGATAATAGTAGTATAAATTATCAACATAAAGAAATTTTATTTCTATTTGAAAATGGTAAATCTATGTCATATACAGAATTATTAAAATCTGGTTTTGGTAATTGGGCTAATCAAATTAAACAATTTAGTACACAATTAAAATTATTAATACAAGATGATTATAATGCAATTTGGGGTTTAGCTGCATTGATTTTAGTGAATTATAAATCAATCAATTGTAAGTTTTCTTTTTTTTTCTTTTTCTTTTTGTTTTGAAAATGGTTGTTGTTTTGGATTTTGAATTAGTTTTTCTACGGGATGGGGTCGCTAACCTCAATGCCCAACCCTCTTCTTGTATCCGAGCTTGGGACTGGGAGTAAATCTAGAAGAGTTACAGGCAGAAGTCCTAAAATACAATACGGAGAACAGCAATCCAATCACTCTTGATGGTGAAACTCTGGAAGATGTAGAATCTTTCACATACCTGGAAAGCATCATCGATAAACAAGGAGGATCAGATGCAGATGTAAAGACAAGGATTGACAAATCAAGGACAGAATTCTATCAATTAAAGAACATATATAACTCAAAACAAAACTTTCAACCAATATCAAAGTCAGAATCTTCAATACGAACCTCAAGACAGTCAGTTCTACTGTACGGTACTGAAACTTGGAGAACTACAACCACCACCATCAAGGAGGTACAAGTATTTGTCAATAGCTGTCTATGCCCTTAACATTCTTCCAACCGTCTCCGACACCCGTCAGCATTGCAAAAATGAATATTAAACGATGAGATTTTCTTAATTTTAAAATATAAATTGTGATAAGTAACATTGATCTGTTTCAATGAATGACTATGTAATATTGTCTTTATTCAAGTCATGTAAATTTGTTCAAACCTACTGAAAGTGATTTATCAAACTGATAAGAAGATATGTAGAGAAATAAGACTTACTTACTTTACTTTATTTACGCTTGTTACTCCCACTGGAGCATAGGCCACCGACTAGCATTCTGCAACTCACACTGTCCTGAACCTTCCTTTCTAGCTCTATCCAATTCTTTTTCATTTTTCTCATGTCCATCTCCATTTCTCGGCGTAATATGTTCTTCGATCTTTCACTTCTTCTCCCTTCGTCTTGAGGATTCCATGTGACGGCTTGTCTTGTAACGCAGTTGGGTACTTTCCTCATTGTGTATCCTATACACTTCCAGCGCTCCTTCCTGATTTGTTCATCCACTGGGATCTGATTTGTTCTCTCCCATAGTAGGTTGTTTGCCAATAGTGTCCAACCAACAGATCCGAAGTATTTTGTGTAGACAAAACTAGTAAGAGATAATAAATTTTACGCCAAACACTGAATCATATTGTACACTATGCATATAAATATACTATATATAACCAATGATTTTGGTATGCTGAACGATTCAATTACTCACTTACTGTTTGATTTTTGAAATGGAATATGTGTACCGCCTAAAGTTTCCAGGTTTATCACCTCACCATTTATAAACGTCTCCTGTTTACCTTCATCTACATCAGTTTCTTGATTGACCTATGAATAACAAAGCAATAAATAGTAGTCACCTTTCTGATAGATGAGTATCGAGGGGTGACATAGTAGTTAATAAACGCTATCTATTTCAAATGAAAGCCTCTTTAGTGGTGAGCGTCCATGACCTCACCTCTGCGAAATTCGAACTCAGGACCTATCAGGCTCGCGCTCGAGCGCTTAACTAGAATATCCATAAAAATCCCTTCTCTGATTATAATCATCATATGCTCAATAGAGACGGTCTCCAAGAGGTATATCCTAGAGTTCTAGTGAGAAGCAGTGATCAGTGGAGTTCAATCAGGTCTGTTGTGAGATAATAACTGAATAATAACTGAATACATTGGTGGATATGTCACTCAATTTCGTGGATTAGTTGAAGTAAGACATTAACACCGTTGGTTGCCGAATTAGTGGTCTAGTGGTTAAGTATTCGCGCGCGAGACTGATAAGTCCTGGGTTCCAATCTCGCAGATCGTGGATGTTCAAGGGTCCAACAATAGAACGGAACGGTCGTCCAGTTTTTCCAGCTTTTCCATGACGGTCAATCATTGACCATAATCTGACGTATTCGATATAATTCATAGTTTAAAATAAATCTTTAAAAGTAAACAAAATGATGTGTAATTGTCAAATGAACAACTATTTTCCATTTGTAAGCAAAGGCGTATAGTGACTAGCAGTAGAATCCAGTTTGACACGCATTTCATCCCATTTGAGACTCGTCAGCTGGATGTACCTGCATCTCAGAGTTGATTTTCACTCTGAGACTCGAACCCAGTACCATTCGCTTCAAACGCCATCGCGTTACCCACTCAGCTACTGAGTCAGATAGTCACTTACTTGTGTAATGGAGTGTTGTTTTACTTGAATCTTCCGATTGATGTTTAGGACTGCAATTGATCGAACTCTTAATGGCATATGTGCATACTGTGCGTATTGCCTCAATATTGCCTTAATTTACAAGCATTATAAGCAAAGATAGATAGTGTCTAGCAGTGAAATCCAGGACGCTCATTTCCATTTGTATTGGTTGTATCAATTTATATTTTAACAAAATTATTAAACGATTCGTTTGTAATGGCTTTAATCCGTTAATCAATCACCTCGATAACCGTTATAATATCAATGTCAATGGTAGTTCAGGATAGCATAGTTCACAAAGCTCTAAGAAGATTGAGAGAATTTTGAAGCACACAGGCAAATGTGTGTATGTGTGTGTGTGTATGTGCAAGCAATCACATAAGCAAATGTATAATTGAATTGTATAAGGGCACATTCAAGGTGATGCCAAAGCTAATAATAGAATTCGCGTACATATATATATATATACACACACACACACAGAGGAGGATGAATCATTGAGTACTATTCAAGCGATCAACATATTAACTACAGTCTGTCATGTACTCTAATAATCATAATAATAGAAAGATAGATAAATGATTACTATTTAAACAATATTATCTATTCAGTAAATGAATCAAAAGGGGGTATAACTCTAAACATTGATTGTACATTAGTTGCTATGACCTTAAAAATTACATTGATTATTTATCTTATTTTAGATCTTACACCATTGACAAATTCTAGTGAAGTCTATTCATTACATCATAGATTTGTTGAAATGTTAAAAAGTCATTGTTGTTCATCAACTCAACATATAAATTTAACATCAAATACACATACATCATTAATTCATGATTCAACTAATACTACTAACACTATTACCACTACCACTACCACTACTGCTAATACTCCTACTACTACTATTACTAATAACAATAATACTACTAACAATCTTATAAGTAGTCATAATAATTCAACTAAAAAATCCAATAAACTCAATACAAATGATCATATCATATCAACATCATTAATACGTAATGATTCAACATATTTTTCTAAAGTATTTCAACAAAAAGATATTATACATGATATAACAAAAGAATATTTAATTCAACCATTACAACAATTATTTAATCATGATCCAAATACATATTCATGGTTAAAAGATATTTTAGATATAATCAAATTATCAGACTAAATAGATGAACTATGATTATTATTATTATGATTATTATTATTATTATTATCATTATTATCAATAGAAACAAGATCAAGATCCATTTATTCGATCAATAATGATCATATTCATTTTGAGAGATCATGATCAATAATCGATAGTGCGGAGAGCTAAACAAACAAACAAACAAAAAGTCACAATTCACAATTATCTTCTATCATGATTATTTCATGTCTACAGTAAAAAAGTAAAACAACAACACAGTTTTCGCTACAAACCCCCTACTCGCCTTACCCCCCCCCCCCGCGAAAAAAGTTTTTCTTCTCTTTTCTTCTATGAAACAAATCAATATTCTTTTCTTTTTTTCTTCTTCTTCTTCTTGTATGTGTGCGTGGGTGTGTGTGTGTGTCATGAAAGAGATGAATCGTCTAATGGGATGATTAATGATGTATGATAATGAAGTTCGTTCAATGAAATGGATAAGTTATTATTATGCTTTACACTATATTGTATTCATTAATTAAAAGAAGAAACAAAAACAAGAAACAACAAAAAGAAAAACAGAAACAAAACAAAATGCAGCTTTTGATTTCATTCTTTTTAAAGGATTCAATATATACTACTTATAATTCGTGAGTAATAAGAGAAAATGATAATCCCTTTTGTTTGTTTGTTGTTGTTGATTATTACGTAACACTGTTACTATTATTATGACTATTACTATTATTATTACTATTATTATTATTATTACTATTATTACTATTATGAATATTGTTATTATGATTATCGATTAAGTAATCAATCAATAAAATGGAATCCTTCAAATGACAATCATTTGTGAAGTATAATTTAATTTTTAAAAAAATCTTTATTACTACTGATAAAACTACTGAATACTACTACTAATACTATTACTATTATTACTATGACTACGATTACTACTATTATTACTTTGTTTTGTTTTTTCTAATTACTATGGCTACTATTATATGTATGAAAATGGCAAAACAAAAAATATTAAAAAAATACAAAAAAAATACCATAAAGATATATACATGTGTATAAACAAGTTACTATGTACGGGGTGGGGGAAGGGTTTTTGTTGTCGTTGTGATTTTCAACAATACTACTACTACTAATAATAATAATAATGATTAATATTATGTTACTAATTAATTTATTACTTTAAAAATAATACAAAAATATACAAAGACATTGAATGTGAAAGAATTTTCTTTTTTTCTTTTTGAAGATTATTTCTTTTTTCGAGGGTGGGGTGGGGTGGGGTGTTATAACTTGTGGCATGGGTGCTCTGTGTATTGTATAACGTAATAATACTGTCTATTAGAGCACAGTGATTTATCAATTGAACTAATGACAGATAAAACCTAGTATGAGCAGTTTAGAGTACTTACCAGTCCTGTTTCATGCCTAGCCCAACGAGTTAAGTCCAGAACAGTAAATCTTAGTCTCTTCAATATGAATCATTTATTTCAAATATTCTGGGTTTATATAGCAACCAGATAGACTACATTGTACCATAAAATATGAAACAACATTTGTAGAAGATTTAGCCAAAAGTGGCTGTGAATGTGGGTGGTAGTAACTAATAGACAGGGCATCATTCAAGAATGGTAAATCGCATAACAAGATCATAATAAGAGGAACAGGAATATGATTAGTATAGTCACTTAATAATTATACGATAAAAATATACTAATAGTATTGGTCCATAAATGGGTCCTAAAAGTTACCATTCATTATGCTTATCGGGGCATAACAAGGGGGTAGGATAACAGTTTTTACACATAAAAATTATAAATTAATTTGCATAGTGACACAAATATTTTGTAATGTAGGTAGATAATTGCCCTCTTTTTAACGATGAATATTAATGCCAATAGTTGAGATCAACAGTCAATTGAAGCTAAACCACCGGAAGGCTGTTTTATCTTATTGTTGGACTCTTCATCAGTGGGTATCCACGATTATATCTCCAAAGATTCGAACCCAGGACGTATCTGTCTTGCACGTGAACGTTTAACAACTAAACCAACGAACCGGCGGGTATGCTATGAATGTTAATGTCTAACTTCAACTAATCCAACGAAATTGAGTGACACATTCACCATTGTCATCAGTGAGTTAATATCTCACAATAGACCTGATTGAAATCCACCGCTCACTGCTTCTCACTAGAATTCCATGAAATACCTATTGAATCTAGTCACCAGTGAGCATATGTTGATTAACATCAAAAGGGGTTTTGTGGAGATTGTAGTAATTTCAATAGTTGAGATCATGAGCCAATTAAAGCTAGACCAACATTGAAAACCTGGAACCACTGCCGTCTCATCCTACTATAAGATCGTGAATACGCACCTCTGAGGAGTCCTACAGTAGGACGAAATAGTCGTCCAGTGGTTCCAAGTTTTCACTGGTGGTCTAACACCAATCAGCTCATGATTTGAATCAAATTCAATGATTTTAATAACATCATACTTGATGTATTATTGGTGTATAATGATAGTTAGTTATAAAATTTAGACTACATAGTAGCTCAGTGAACTCACCAGACATGGACGCAGAACATAAAGACCTACCCATTGATGTTACCTCGCCAACAATCGAAGAAATCAGCATGGCCATTAGACAAATCAAGAGTGTAAAAGTAGTAGGACCAGACAACGTACCAGCTGAAGCACTGAAGTGAAACATATAAGTTACTGCAAACACGCTCCACATAGTAGTCAGAAAGATGAACAAGTGCCGACAGACTGGAAAGAAGGATAACTTCTAAAGATTCCAAAGAAAGATCTCAGAAATTATGAGAAATATGGAGGCATCACACTAGTATCAGTACCAGAAAATATTTTCAACATAGTTGTTGAACCGAATAAGGGATTCTGTATATACCCAAACTTGAAACCAATAGGCTGGATTCCATAAGCATAGATCGTGTAACGACTTAGACTTAATTACTTACCTAATGTCAGTAAAGTAAATAATACTAAGTGAATTTAAACTTTCACCCCATTGCACAAGCAAGTGACTATCAGGAATCAGTAGCTAAGTGGATAATGCGATGGCGTTTGAAGTGAACGGTATCGTGTCTATATCTCAGAGTAAACAACAACTTTGAGATAGAGGTGCATCCACCTGACGAGTTCCAAAAAAGACAAAACGCGATTCAAACTGAATACCACTGCTAGCTACTATCCATCTTTGCTTAAGTAAAGGTCATATAAGTCTGAGATCCCGTTTATTATAATCCATATGACTGAAGACTACTGAATAATTAAACACATCTAAACAGATAAAGATATATTTTATTAATCAACAAACATATAAAGTGAATTTAGCTTATATTTACTATAGCAACTATCTTACAATCAATTTCGATTATGGTTAACTTTGCTTAAGCCCTTTGTATTAACTTACTTAACAGACAATGTTATTCGAACAGTACCAGTTTGCATATTTCTTTGTACCATTATGATCACTATCTTGTCAGTATAAACGTGTACGCTTGATGAAATCACTGAATCTAGCTAAAATATTGATCGCTTAAATATCACTCGATGATTCATTATCTTCCCCCATGTATATATGTATGCGAATCCTATTATTAGCATTTGTTTTGCCTTGCTTTTGCCCTTATGTGATTTCAATATAAACTTCCATCTGTATTTGCTCTCTCTCTCACACACACATTCGCTCCTCTGCTTCAAACTTTGCTTAATGTTCTCATGACTATGTGATCTGTACTATCCACTAATAAACTGTAGATGCCTTCAGATTATAAATACCGTTAAGATTTATATAATAACGGTTACAAGGGTGATTGATTAACGAATCAAAGCCACTACAAGGCCATCTTGGCTGAAAACAAGTGATTGGCTATCGGGTTTATTTTATCAGACCACTATGAAAAACATGGAAGCACTAGACGGCCGTTCCGTCCTAGTATGGAAATCCTCAGCAGTGCGCATTCACGATCCCGCCGCCCCCCCGCGAGATTCGAACTCAAGACCCGTCAGTCTCGCGCGCGAACGCTTAACCATCTGACCACCGGGCCAGCATCCAACTGTGTTGATGTCTAACTTGAACCAATCCACGAAGTTGCGCAGCGTATAATCTCACGTTACCTGAACTACATTACCGTAGGAGAATATTTTATCAAATAAGTCGTACTACTTATAAGTAGTTTGATTTTAAATCAAACATTTTTACCAAAAATTTACAATGGACCTCTTATCATACAATCAATGTTATTTCTTATTCCCAATTTTTAAACAGAGAGATTAATTTATGCCTCATCTTCTTGGCCAAATTCATAAGGAAGCATTAGTTCCTTAAAGATTATGTATATGCCTATTAGTGAGATATATAGTTTCATGGATTCCAGTTGAACACTTTAAATTGCCTAGAATAGCAGTACAGTACATGTCATATTCATTCAATGACTTAAACTAACGTTTACGCTGAAGCCTAATCAACAGTATTCTAGTAGCAATTAATAGGGAATAAACAAATATGAGGATCAACATTAAATATAACAGATCATCGCAAATTCATCAATGAAACATAACTAACTATCGTTTTAATTCTATCTAACTCCTAATATGTTCAAGATTTTAGATCCTTAGAACTCATTCGGTAAATATCTTATTTTTTTAATTTTATTTTTGCGGGAAAAGTGCACATGTTTACCGTTATTTTGTATTTCCTACTTGAGAGAATCTTAAACGCTATGGATTCGTTGTATCTTTTAGTATGCTGTACATATATATACGTTTGATTTATGCCTGTAGTTATTATTCGTGCTTCTTGTTGCTTGTGGAATATATTTTCCCCGTTTCGAACTTGGACTTCTCTCTCACTCTCTCTCTCTCTCTGTAGTTAACGGGGTTATGACGCATCGGAATAGCTTGTTTATTGATCATTGATCACAGTGTCTTTGTTCCGTTCTCAAACTAGGTGAACTCATAATCACTTCAAAAAATAGCATAATGATAAAC